TGGCTGGAGGCAGGGGAGCTGTGGTTGATGTAGGCACCCCAGACAGAACTTACCCATGGTTTTCCTAGATCCCGGAGTACTTACTGAGCAGCAACCCTTTGTGCAAGTGCCACTGGCTTCAGGCAGATGATGCTATTCAGGCAGAAGATGATACTACTAATATAAGATGGAAAACTAGTAGGATCTGGCTTGAAGTTGTTACTATAGCCAGCCTGTGGTCCTTGGTAATCTGTTTTATTTGGGGATAGTCACTAATCTGTTAGGAAAAAGAACATAAAACTGAATCCCTTTCTTCCACAACAAAGAGACAAAAGATTTTTCTGTGTATGCATCACTTGGTACATGGAGGCAATCAATCAGCACCATCCAGAGGGATACAATAAAGGATTCTTATACATCTTCAGAGAATGGGATGAAGTTATGCTTCTCCAAAAAGTACAGTAACATCACAAAACTGAGACCTTTATGGACTCATCTTTGCAGTTTTCTGGATTATATTTTTATGTGATATCTGGTTGTTTTCATCAAAGAATATACAAATGTATCTTTAAATATGCTACTGGGTTAGAGACTGTAACATCATCAGAAAATTATTACCTTAGCAGTACTTGCACAGCCATCTACTACTGTGCGATATATGAGTGTTTCTATAGAAATGAACAGCAATAACTGTTTTTCTGAAAACAGTGGGGAAATACTTGGCTACATAATGAACAACAGGAATAATGTTCATTCTTCATAGAAGCTTCTAGAAGATGCTTATTTTACAGAAAATACTGACAGTTCAGGAAATCAGACTTTTCCAGTTTCAGTATTCAGCATGATAGGGAGACATCTTTCTTTCCAATTTTGTTTTCAAGTTCACTATTGAAATAATTGCTTAGTCCATCTTTTCCTAAAGTTGCTTGACATACCTCTTCAAAATATCAGTGAAAACCCTGTTTCTCTCCCTGCAAAATCCTGTAAAAGGTGTAATCTCTTAAGGCTTTGAAACTCAAATCAAAGTTGTGTTCAGATGTCAGGGGTCATTCTTAGTCTACTGAACCTCAACTCTGACCGGACTGAGGCTTCATGGCTGATTCAACACCCACTGATGCCAGTGGAGAAAAGTCCATCCAAATTCTTACATAGCAGCTTCATGACATCAGAAGATGACAGGTGCTATAACTCATGTGCAGATTTAATACAACAGCTGCTTCAAAAATGAAGATGTACTAATATCTAGTAAATGGCCTTTTAAAGTTGTTGTCAAGTTGGAATAAGTGCACCTACTTTTGTTTAGGAGCTTTTTCATCAAAAATACTTGTCAAATTGCTTTAAAAAGCAATATGGAATTATCTCAGGAAAATGGTTCTAAAATGTGTTCATTTTTGAGATACTTGCTTCTTGATAAATAAGGCTATAAAGAAGAGGATCTTGAAAGGCCAACACCTTGATTTAAAAAAATAGAAAAGAAAAAGCCACAAAATATTTAATTGCAACACAAAACTGAAGTTTTTAAAATTATTTGTTGGGAAAAAATAACTTTTGTCCATTTGCTCTAGGAAAAACAAATAGCACTATTTAATAATGGGAAGCAATCCATTAAAAAAAGACAAAAACACTGAATGAGTGTGACTTTGAATTCCTTCCTAGACCATCAAAAACAGTCAGCTTCTTAATTTTTTTTGTGAGAGGTCATCAAGAAATCGCAAGAGAAAGATTAAGAGGAATGGTTATTATGGAGAAAACTGAATTGCATCTGCATAGCACACCCTCAGTCATTTTGGTGGAGAACACTTCAGGATTATACTGCCCACATACTTCCAACTTGAGTTTCTGCATTTATTTTGCTAGTAAAATACTGCATTCATAGAAAGACATAAAACTCTTGGGATAACTCCATGTACACATTACTCAGAAATTCTGCTGTAGTTCTTAGCAAAATGTATTTTTAGGATTATAGCTCTGGAGTGTTTGTAATTGCAGTCCTAAGAGTGGCTCAAAGGCTGGTGCTGGTTATAACTTCTAAGCCTTAAGGGCAGATCCTTCAATGTTTATTGAGGAAAATTGCTCATTGGTTTCAACGGGAATTTAGCCTCATCAGTAAGCACTGCAAAGTCAGGCCCCTAGAGAGTGCCACTTCATAAATCAATTATAATTAATTCATCAAAGAAAAAAATGCTAATTCTGATTCAGTTTAGAACACCCAATCTCATCTCAAATCATTAGTTACCTAATCATGTAGGAAATTAAAATATTGTTAGAATTAATCGTGTGTGACTCAGCAGACCAAAAGACCTTCAGCTAACAGATCGAGTTAAAACTTTCCATTGATGCAACATGCTAAACAAATACAACTGGGGATTTTGTTAGTTCAGAGCATTGTTTGTGCATAAGCTGTTGTGAGGTGAGTCTAATGTGATATTATTCATAATGCATGATGAAGATAAAGCATTTGTGATAAAGAATGTGGTTATCTGAGGAAAGCAAATGCTACTTGAGATTAAAATCCTATTTTTCCACTTGGGAGCTGTGATGACAGCAGTATCTGTCATACCAGTGCCCTTATAAAAGTAATGGAGAAACTGCCTCTGCTTTGCAAATGAACTTTCCTTTTTTTTTTTAGAAGGTTCTAGATGATGTTTAGCACAGGAGCTATATTAATCTCATAGTGGGAGCCAGTCTTACTGCTTTGGGCCTGGTCATAGTGCTTTGGGACTACAAAGCAGTGGTTGGTGCAGCCATGCTCAGATAGGAACCTGTTGTGCTGCTTGTCCTTAAAAAGCTTTGGCCCCTTTCCAGAAAAACTAGACAAAGGCAGTGATTTCTGGTCCTATCTGTACACATGGCAAGATGTCAAACATGTGGGACCTTGTGTCTACTTTTCTTTTTTTTTCCTTTGCAATAATTTTTCATGAGCTTTCAGAAAGTCAGAATCAACCTGTTTATAAAACACATCACAGCTGTGTAAATAAAATATCTTCCTCTATCAATTATATAGGCATCAGAACAAAAGTAGTGCTGCTGAATTCCAGGTATACTACTGCTGAATCTCTGTTTGCAGCATAACTAAACAAGAAAATAAAATACCTAATGGGCAATGGGGCTGAAGAAGCTTTGGAATGGTAATTTTTGCTTTTCCTGTCTATTCCTGTTTCAAGTATGCAGCCATTCTACTGCACTGGGAATGATTCTTGTCTCTAAGGTATTGCATGCCTTTAGAATGAATTCAGGAGGTAATGCTTCAATTACATTTTGAGATTCATATCTCACTGAAGAGAATAGGATTTGTTCTTTATTTTTATACTGATGCTGAATTGGAAAGTTCTCTGTAAAAGAGAAGCAAGATGGTGACATCGTGCCTAAACCCCAAATTTACTGCACAGTAGTTTGTATATTCAAACGTAATGAGAAAGAAATGTGCTTCAAATTTGCAATTATTAAAACTGCTGCACTCATGGGTTGCTTTGTTTTCTTTTACTGCTCATGAAATGACAGCACTACGGTTAGAGTTACATTGACTACACATAATTAATTTTCTAGGGCAAATAAGATAATAAAGCCTCCCTATGAGCGTATGCTTTCTTAATTAATTAAATTGCTTTGACTATTTGGCTTTAGTTTCTTTGGTGTCAGTAAAAACAGAACCTCAGAAAGTGTCCATGCGATACAGTTGCTGTGTATTTCTGTATACTCATTATTAAATGGGTTTTATGGATAATATCAGAAGCCTCTGATATTTTTCTTTTGAAAATGAAGTGTAGCAAACAGTAATGAACTATGTGCCAGGAAGCATCCCATTCTTCAGTATTACTGCCTGTACTTAGAAAGTTAGATGAATCCCTCCTGATATCTTGAAAGTATGTTCAATAGATACTTCACACCATATGTAAATTATTAGTTATGCCTTACATTTTACCAAGGAGGCCTCATTTCAGATCTTCATGGTAAAGAACTGCTTGCTTTCCATGAGAAGCAGTGTAATTCTGAATATGCAACATCCCTGCTCAGAAGACACATCAACAGCTTCTGTCTATATATACAAATAGCAGGGACATGAGACAAACGCTCTCAGTAGGGCTTTCTATCCCAAAACACTTCCTAGAAAACAGTTTGTATATTATTATATTATTCCCAATATTATTATATTCAGACACAAGCTTCCCAGGAATCTCAGGCCATTTTCAAAATCTTTTCCAACTCAAAAATTCTTATCTGTATCAAATGCAGGAGGCACAATACTTAGAATCAAATCTTTTTCCCCCGGCATGAGAATGGACGTATAGATCACTGGATCTTTATTCTACTTCTGAACAGTACTGATTTGACTCTAAAGCCTTTTCTTCCAAAACTGCCTGAGCTACTTGGAAAGCAGAACTTGGGATGAACAGACTGTCCTAGTTTTCTTTTGGAGATAGTACTACTGTCTTCTTATGTGTAAAATAAACTGGTTTTGTAAATGTTGGATCATTGTACCACAGGGGGAACAGGGCATATTCCTTCTCCTGTTGGGCCTTACAGGATATTTGCCAACTGGGAAGCCAAATAACCAGATGATCTACTTCCAGGGAGCTGCTATTTTGCCAGTTTCTGTGGAAGAAAGAGGAGCATGACCTGCCTTTCCCTCACTGCTGAGGAGAGCAACAACTTGATTTCCTTTGTGCTTCCTTTTCAGTTTTCTGAATGTATGGTTCTGAGACTGTACTTTTCATTGTACCCTTTTTTTCTTTCATTTTAATGTATGGTAGTTTAAGAAAAAGTAGTTTTGAAATAATGAAACTTGACAAATTTTAAGCATGTGACTGACTGGATGGCAAATGCAGGCCAAATTGTAGACTTAAGACAATAACCAAGAAAACAGCAATCCAGTTTATCCCCATACCTGGGAAATATCAGTCAGCTAAAGTATCTTTCTGACAGCTGTGGTAGCCTTCTTAGCAGAATTTAATCCCTGTCCAGAACTATGATCTTTGTCCTACAATTGGTGAAGTCACTGAGAGTTTTCTCATTGCTTTCAGGAGTTGAGTGGTCCCGTTATTCCTGAAGAAATACTGGCTGTAATCTGAAAGCTGCTCAAGTCAGAGAAAAGATTCCTGCTGTCATCAGTGGGCTTCAATCAGGTTTGACCAGTTCCAGCATAAAGCCAAATAACAACTTTCAGGTATGTCAGGAAACTGCTTAAAAACATAAAAACTCATTTGAGAATTGTTAAAACACCCATGCTTTGGTGAGCTTTTGTTGTTGGTGAGTTTAGATTGCAAGCTAGCTGTTTAGTTTAAAAGGACACTTAAGGTTTTCCTGAATTAATTACGGGCTCTTAAAGTCGCTGAAACAAGTAATTTGTCTATCATGACTTTAGTAAAAAGTAGTGATTTTACCCTCAAAAGCTGCATGCTTGGAAAAAAAGAAAGATTGATTCTCTGCCACAACTTGTTTTTAGCAAGATTTATCATGAAACTTGAATTCATCTGATAAGTTGTGTTACACTCCAGTAAATGCTCTGGGCTGCCTTGTGTGAGCAAATACTATTTGTCTGAGTAATGGCTGCAGAGACGGAGCCATCTGGCAACAACTGACTTCTTTGTGCTTTCTACTGTTTCAGTTGCCTTACTGTGGTAGCTAAATGAGATGTTATGACTAGGGAAACACCAACACTATTAGTTTTAGAGGTCAAGTTCTGAACACACTTTTCTGACAAATCTCCTAGTACTGTCTGTGGGAATGTTATTTATGTCAGGATTAAGGTCCATATTTGACTGTTAATTTCATGGTTGTGTTGCACAGCCTGATAATAGGGAAGCTCATAAAAATAAAGATGCTCTTAGCTCTGTGACCAAACTCTGTAATGCATGTAAAATTGTTTTTTCTTTTTATAATTACAGCTGGTATTTCAGTGTTCTCTGCCAACCCTCATTTTCCTCCATCCACACCCGCTTTATTTCTTCCTGATGCTAGCACAAACATTAATTTGATCACTTTCCAACACATTTGTAGAAAAAATCTCCCACAATTTATAGCTGGCCCTGACAGGATTGCTGAAACTAGACAACTGATATATAACTGCGTTGACTTTGATTCTGGTTTATGTATGCAGAGAATACAGGTGTAGATCTGTGTTTTCTTTATGCCTAAACAAACAGCTAAGTATAGTATCTTTTTAATGTGTTATGAAGAACAGCAGTTACAGCTGGTTTTCGTACCAGCTATGTTTTGCAGCTATAGGAATTATTAATTTCTGTGAAAAGTCCCCATTTTTTATCTTTACTATCCCTCCATTTTCTGCAGCAACAGACCTGTCAGTTCTTATATTGCTATCTGTGTCTGTCTTAGCAAGGAATTTGGTACAACAGGAGTAAATCAGTAGATCAAAGAAGCAGTTGGTGCTATGTTTGTCACATATTTGTTACACGCATTTGGGGATTTTGCTCCAGCCTAGGGTTATTCTGGTCCCTTGATCAAAACAGAGGACCCCTCTGTTCCTACACGTGGTCACTAAGACTGGCTGCAAGCAGGGAACAGCAGGATAGAGAGCTGGCTTTATGCAGTGGGAGTGAGAAGAGAAGGCTTCTAGAGAGAAATTGCTCCCTCATGTTGATTTTTTTTGTTTGCACTGAATGGAAAGTGGGCTAGAGCCTTTTCTAAGAGCCCCTGAGGTAGCAGATGAGGCCTGAGCACAGGAGAAATGTCCCAACAGGTGTTAGCTCTGATTCCACTCCTACCCCTGACTGCCTGTCCACACTGAGGAACAACTGAGCTCGTGTGCTGTAGGGACTCTGCAGTGCTCTGGGCTGACTTTCCATGGCCACCACACAAGCAGCTATCTGATATTCCTGCCAGTGCACAAATTTTCCTCCACCCCCATACCCTTGGGTGCTGGTTCAGGGCCCCATCAGGCTGTATGGCATGTCAGCAAAAGTGGCAGAGAATGGCTTTCCCCTTCCTCCTGCAGAACCCACCACCCATTCCTGATCCCTCATCTGCAGGCTACCCACCAAAATCAGGAATGAAAGCAGTTGTGTACTTGACACCCTTCCCACAAGCTCGTGTTACCCCTATGCTGTAGTGACTGCACAATATGCACCACAGGGTAGAAAGTCTGAGAACAGAACTGCAGCAGCACTGCTCCCCCTCTGCACTGCTCACAGTAGTTTTCATTGCATGAGGTGTGAAGGGGTAGAGGAAATTGTCACTTTACCAGAGCTCTTACATAACTTGTATACCATGGCAAAGAAGAACTTGCCTGTTCATCTCATTGGACAGGCAGGGATGGGATCCATATGGTTACTGTGTACATTTACACAGTCCTTGTTCCAGGCTATAAAGCACCATGCTGAAGGAAAGGAAGGTGCTGTGAAGCACAAGCCTCTCTATGGGATTCTAGAGGGATTGTGTTATGGCATGCTGCATGCACAGTCACTGGCACACAGATCAGCACTTGTACAGGCTGGGACTAGGAGGGAAGCTTCTGATGTAGCTATCTGTCACACAGAGGAGTTCCCCCGCAGCTCATAACCACAGACATTTTTAAAAGCACAACAGCCTTTGCAACATACACCGTCTCCTCTCAATCATGACCCAAGTGTCAGATACATCATGTTATTCCCATTCCACTATAAAAGCCTGCATGGAAAGAGTACACTGACCTGAACTGGACTCTGGAGCACTGACACAGAGATTTGCTTTTCAAAAGCACTAGAAACAAGCCACAGTACTCCAGTTTCTGCTTTTTGTAGTGATCTTCTGTGGGATGCGTGCACAGGCTCTCAGAGTGGCTGGGGAGCATGCTTCAGATACACTGTCATGTGTCCCAGAGCACAGATGGCCAACTGGGCGACATAAGCAAAAATAGTTCTCACCAGAAGATCTGTTCAAGCTCTACAGAATATGAATACACCTGCCATGCTGCCCCAAAAGGATGATTGTTGCCCTTGCACTCCAAGAATGATTTTCATCCTTTCAAATTTAAGGTTGTCTGGCTTTTCAGTTCTCTTCGTGCATCAATCATAATGCAAGCCTCTGAGACTGCCAGTGCTAGCCTGCTGCTGAAGAAGCATTCAGCCCTTTCATGGCACAGGATAATTTGTACCTGGCTGGATCTTCTGGAATTTTTCGACTCACTGTACCAAGAGAGATGAAGACTAATAGAAGAAGATGGGCGGACAACAACTGACATAGGGAAGTTAAATAAATTCCAAGCTAGAATGAGAGAAGATGAAGGAGGAAGGAGTGCTGGAAATTCAAAGGGTCAGGGGCTGAACGTTGATAAATATGGCAGCAGATACTTAGCATTTGATTCATTTTATAGCATGCAAAGGACCTCAGGTTGTAACAGAAACACTTGTTGGTGTAAGAACTTTTTGATGTTCATGCATGTGAGGTAGAACTTTGTGACAGTGGAGCCCACTTTGGATTGGCTCTTTAGATCCTTTTTAGGGGCAGGCATGCTTTTCACTTATATTTCAGAGAACAACTACTGGTATAGTTTTCTCCTAACTGTGGAAACCAAGAAGCTCTGCCAATAAAACTGACATGAACTAAGTGGAAATATTGAAGTCATCTGATTCAGAACTGTTCTGCTCTGAACCAAAATACTAATGCAATTTGGGCCAGTGAGTCCCTAAATTACCTTTCCATGCTGTTGGAGTGGATCTCTGAAGGAGAACTGGAAAAAAAAGGGGAAAGAGGAACAGAGTCTTCAATGTATTTTTCCCATTTGTCTAGCCTCCCAGTATCCCTGTCTGCTCTTCTTGACACACTAGCTATTCTTCTCCTTCTCTCTTCTGTTTCTTCCTCTTTTTTATCTTTGTCTTTTGGAGCAACAAGCCCATTCTGGAAGTTTTTACTATTTTTCATTCCCTCTTCAGTGCCTGTCTCTTCTTCCTCATGATGTTATTCAGCCATTCTCATCTGGTATTCTTTGCTGAACCTTCTTCCTCCCTTCGTCCTGTCCTCAGGTCTTGCCTGAATTCCATCATGATTTCCAGCTGCCTCTCTAGCACTCGGGCACTTTTTCCCTGTGGGTTCTCTCAGGCAACACTTCATACATAAATAGCTCCTATCAAGTACCCACTTGATGGTAAAGTACATCCTGCAGCTTCTGCATTCAACCATCTGCAATTATTTGGTCTCATCTGCTGTTACCTTAACTGACATTATCTTTTTTCTCTGTCTCTGTCTTTTAAAGAAAAGAACATTAGTCAAAGACATTTCTTTACTGCCCTCTGTTTAATGTGTTCCTATGTTCAATATCTGTTTACTGCTGTAAGCATTTTGTGTAGAACAGCCTGGCTCCCTCACTTAGACCCAGCAATTAACTGCTTGCTTACTGTGTTCAAACAGTGTGATTTTTTTTTTAATATATATTTTACCTCTAAGGCCGTGTTTCTGCTTGCAATACACCAGAGTGCTCTGCAAACTATATCCACAGCATGTACCCTGCAATCTGCAGCTGAACAAGCTGTGTGGATGATTCTTTTTTCACCACAGACAAGTCCAGTGCAGACTCTCCTGATGACTCTTTCATATCTGATGTATTTCTTGGATGCTTGTGTGGTTGTAATTGGTTGTAATACTTGTAGAATGAGCTCTCTCATTGCAAAGTTGTGGAGAAGCTATTTTGTGTTCTTAGTCTTGCTTCTTTTCTCATAGGTAAATAATAGATCATAGAATCAGCAGGGTTGGAAAGGACCTCTGAGATCATTAAGTCCAACCCTTGATCCAGCACTGCTGTGGTTACTAGACCATGGCACTAAGTGCCCCATCCAGTCTCATCTTAAAAACCTCCAGGGAGGGAGAATCCACCACTTGCCTGGGCAGCCCATTCCAATGCCTGATTACCCTGTCTGTAAAGAATTTCTTCCTAATATCTAACCTAAACCTCCCCTGGCAGAGCTTAAGACCATGCCCTCTTGTCTAGTAACATTGCAGTAAAGAAAGTGGCAACTTTGCACACAATTCTGTTCACATGATCAACAGTGGATTTTTTCATGTTGAATTCAGCAACAAAAAACTTTTAAAAATATTTTTATTGTGTAGATGTCATGATGTCTGTCAGATGTGCATTGGGAAAAACCTTGGGTTTTTATTCTCCAGATGCTGCTTTTAAGTGACACAAATTGTCTACATGAATACATGTTCTAACATTAGCAAGTTTTGTTACCT